ACGGATCTTCAATCTCTAAAATGTGCAGTTGAGTACTGGAACTTAAAAGAGCAGAAAACTATCTTCAAGGACATTCTTGAAAAACATATTACTAGATGATCACGTTGAAACAGAAAAAAAAAAAGATTTTTTATATTTATCTTGTATGAAACTCTTAATTTACCTAACTTGCATAGTCAGTGGCGGATTGAGGTTTAGTGTCGCGGGGGGGGGGGGGAGGGTTAAGTCAATAAATAGGGGCGACCGGGGTTGCCTTCAGTAATTTAATCTTATATATATAAATATATATATATATATTTTCAAATTGTATATACAAGGAATTTTATTTTGTGTAAAATAAAATAAAACGTTTGAATAAAAATCTTATAGGTATAAAAGATATTTCAGCGAAAAAATTATTCTTAAAAATTATTCGAAAAACTCGTTGACGTTTTATTTTTCAGCAGCTGTTCTTAAGCATGCTTCGTTGAGTTTCGGTAACTTTTAACAAAAAAGCGATTGATATTATTTAAGGCCGTTTTCCACAAGACGAAAAATTCGCGCGCAGCGAATTTTCGCTACGACGAAACGCTGTTTTGATTTCCACTTACTTTCTTTCGCGCTACTTTTTTTTCGTTGTCAACAATAAAAATGGCAGCAATAAGTTTACGCTGTATGTTCAACTTAAAGCAGTTAATACTTTTTTTAGCATACTTTCTACTTTGAAGCGTGTGAAAGTTTCTTTCCGTGCATTAATATTAACATTTCTGCCTTTATATGTAAGATGTGATATTATTTTGTAATATAATCGTTTAATATAAGGTTTTTTTTTACAAGAAAGTATAAAAAAATAAATGCTAAACTCTGATATGAACATTGCTATTAAAAACTATTACTGCAAGAACGAACAGCAGGTTTAACTCTATAAAGAATTTTTCATAAAAAGGTTTATCTTCGTGTGGCCACTTGAAGATTAACATTCTTATGAAGTGTAACTTTCATAATTGATAGTGTGAAAATTTATATTTATAAATTTTCGATTTAGTTTTTTATATAAGTCTGGTCATTTTTTTATGTAAGTCTTGCCCCTTGTTTGATAAATTTACTCATGCTAGCCAATTTTCAGAGTAAGTTCATATAAAATTAATAAGAACGCGAGGTTAAGAATTTTGTTTTTTGTTACTTTAAAAACAACATGTTTTCGCTTTTTTTTTAATGTTGACACCACGTGATATAATATTCAAAATTTTATTGGTTTTCGCTTATGGCGATTCGTCAAAAGTCGAAATGAATCCGACTTTTTTTTTCGCTGCAGCGAAACGCTGTAGCGAAAAAAAATCACTATAATCGCCAAAAATGTTTAATCTGCGCATGCTTAACGACGAAAATATTCGCTTCGCGCGAATTTTTCGTCTTGAGGAAAATTACTTTAAGTAATTTTTTTCGAGATACTTTTTACAAAAATTTTAATAGCTGTACTTTTTTATTGAATAAAGTTGAATCCTTGAGGTCGCTAATAACGCATTTTGTTCAATGTTTTTCCCCTACAAAGATGGTAACTCGTTTTGTGACGCGATCGCGACTTCAAGGAAACGTTTTAATAATTAATCCTTTTATTATTTTTTATTTGCGCTTACCAATTTTTAAAATGTTTAATCGAAATTACTCTTAAATACTTTAAATACGTCTAACAGTTGATAAATATTTTTAAATCAATGGAATAATTTTAAAACCTAACAAATACCCGTAAAATAATTATTTAAGTTGAAACTCTAAAACTAAAAGAAAGTATTTTTGTTCAATTTTATCGACATCTTTGCTAGTTATGAATAGTTTTATTAAAATGTTAGCTTAAAAAGTTAAACTTTTTTTTTATCTGAATTTTTTCTTCTTGTAAATAATGAGCATATTTAATTTTTTTGTAATTCAAACTTTTATATCAACTGCGTGCGGTTTTTAAAATACTTTATTATATGTTAAAATAATCGAAAATTACTTATTAAAATTCCGCTCAAAAATATATTTAAACAAAAAATTTTTTGCTCGTCGCAAATAGCCCTAGCTAACACAAAATCGCTCTTGGACGACATCGCCTGGCGGCATATTTTGAAACCCTATACAGGCTCAGAATAGTCAGAAATATGAGCAATCTGATTCGCTAATTTTGAAAGAGAGGCAAGTGCGCTTTATTTTAAAATATATTTAAAATTTAAATAGATTTTGAAATATGAAATATCAATATCAAGAAAAAGTATTGAAGTCAAATATGTTAACCAAATAAAAAAAAGAACAAAATCAGTTGTCATGCTATGATTATTTTTGTTATAATAAAATATGTTTTGTATATATAAACTCTTAAAATATTTAACTTGAATTTGCATGTGTGCAATTTTGCAAGATTTCTAATTGTGTTTTTTGTCAAATGTAATGTCTATGTTTTATAAAGCATGGTCAATACAAAGTTTATATACAGTTGCACCAAACTAATGGTAACATACTTAATGTATGCAAAGTATAAATTTTCAGCTCTCAACTGAGGCAGAGGTTGTTCTAAGCTCGTTACTGCATCTTACACCGTCTTGTTAATTAGAAATAATTAAACATTTAAATTTAAAAAAATAAAAAATTACAGATATTTTACCAAACTAGCTTACATATTCCATATAAATCTACGAACTCTGAAGAAGTTACTGTTTAACCTAAATATTGAGAAGGCTGACAAGACGTACATCATTATTTTTCTTTACTTAACTTTAATAAACATCATCCTTAAACCTTCAAACACTTTCTGAAAAATTAAAAAAGGTTTGGCAGGGTATTTTAACTTATATATATAAATAGAATGAAAATTGTATATTAATAATCTATTGGAAAATTTAACAAAAAAAATGAAATTTATTTATTTTTCTTCTGAACAGTTCTTTTGTTCAGTTACATTTAAGCGTTGATAATACAAGCTAACAAAGAGAATTGAAGTTAAACAATTTAACCAAATTAAGGTGAATTATGGCAATTATTGTAATAAAAAGAACTTCATCAAAACAAGTTTTTAAATTTGAAGAAGGAAGTTTTCAGTTAATTATAAATTAACTTCAAGATAAAACATAACACATCTCTATTTTTAAATTATTATACAAGAGGTATTCACAGAAATTCAAAAAAAGTACACTTGATTTTATTGGTTATTCCAAAGATTACATAATAAAACTATTAATAAAATTTGGAAATATGAAAGATAAATATTTCTGCCTAGAAAAATGAAAAATATGTTGTTTTTTTTAATTTTTCAGAGGAGACATTTTTTTTTCTTCAGGAGTATGTAATGTAAAATAAATTAATAGCATAATAAAAAAAATTTATCAATTTTTGTTGCTTTATTTAATTTTATTTACCATCAGTTGCTATTAAAAAGTAAACGTTTTTTACTAATTATAGAATACAATAACCAATATTTTGTTCAGGTTAAAAGCTATATATCAACAAACATGTGCTTTATATGTATTTTCTTTTGAAATTGTAATAAACAACAACACGAACTTGTTTTTTTGCAATTTTTCTTGTTTTTACCTTTTTACACTTAGCTCTGCATAAAAGTGTGGTAAGTTAAGAGTTGTTTATTTTTGTAACCAGTTTACTATATCAAAACACACTTGTGGACATCAGGTTATAAATTTTTTCTCATAGCTTATTATGCTACAATGCTTTGTAATCTTTTATTACTATACATTACCAAAGCCAATATTCTCAAACTTAAAATGTTTTAGTGATGTATACAATTTATAAATGGGAGTAATAAGTGTAAAAATTCTGAAAAAAAATTAAGTATTTTTTATTTTAATAGTATTTTATTGATATTACTTGGTAAAATTTTAAAACTGTTTTAAAAAATCTATCGTAGAAGAATCACAGCATAGTAAAGTTTTACCATCTTGTTTATAGTTTGTTACAATCGTTGTTATTTTTATATTTTAGAGTTATAAAAACCATAAGGAAAACAAACTAATTTCTTTATATCGTTATTTTTAAGAAAATAAATGTACCATATTGTACAAAATTGGATAGAAAAATCTTTCTTTTTTTTTGTCATTATTATTTGGCAATTACTCTATTTTTCTTTTATTATTCAATACGTTTTTTGACATTTGTTTTGATTTAAACTCAAGCGCAAAAGCCTCTCTTTCAAAATTAACGAATCAGATTGCGCCTATTCTGAGCCTGCATAGGGTTTCAAAAGATGCCGCCCGGCGCTCTATCGCAAGGCCTGCATAAAAGTTGCATAAAATGTTGCATAAAATGTTACAAATCTTTTTTATAAATTTTTCGATTTGATTCTTAACTTTTACTTCTTACATATCTTAAAGCCAATAAACACATTTATATCAAACTTTCATCAAATGCGTATACTTTTCTTAACTGCAGGTTCAATGTAAAAAGCAGCTACTTTTAAACACACAGCTTTTAACTTTAAAGTTTAATTTATGAACATCAAACATGCGAGGTGTTAAATTGTTAATTGTATAAATTATTTAAAAAAATTCTATGTTTTATGAAAAACATTCTGGTATTTCAGCTGAAGGTAAACATAAATATTCAACAATTTAAAGTTTATATTATTTTAGTTTATAGTAAAATTGTAATAATTTGGATCTTTTTGTACGAGTGTTGATAATCAACACTCGTACTCGTATGATAATATACTCGTACACTCGTATGATAATCAATCAACTTACACACACTCGTATGATAATCAATCAACTTGATTGCCTCTAAAATTACACATTCTTCAAAGTTTGTAGTTTTGCTTGTTTGTATTGTATTATTTTCAATTTACTTAGTTGCTAAGGTTAATTACCTTGTTAGACAGTGTTTAGATAATATGTAACTTAATATTGAGCTTTAGTTTAAACAAAAAAAAATAATTATATCATGAGAAAGAGAATTACATTCTACATAAATTTATTCAAAATAATAAACTTTTTAACAGTTTTTTTCGATTATCCTAAATTTTAATTTTATTATTTTTTTGTTTATATAAGCAAATAACAAAAAATGGAATGAAATGGATCCGTCAAGGAATCTGTTAGATTCTAAAATTTGCGAATTGCTTCCTAAAGATTTTGATAAGGTTGCACACTTGATTGGAAATAGTTGGCAAAGTTTTGGGCGCCAACTTGGCTTGACTAATCATGATCTTGAGCATATCAAATCAGATAATAGTTCAACTCTTGAGAAAGCTGTCTGTGTCTTATCAAAATGGAAACAAAATCATGTAAATCCATCATGGGAGATATTAAAAACAGAGTTAACAATGTTTCAGCGTTTAGATATCATAAAAGAGATTGAAAAAGTATTAGCAGGTTAGAGCAGCATCAAAACATATTTTGTATATCTTTTTTTGTATTTTTTTTTTACTTGTTTTTGTAAACACTTATTTTTTTGTATTTTTTTTTTTTTTTGCTAAAAAATGAAGTTATATTAATATATAAAGTAAAATGACAAAAACTTTTAGAAATGAGATTTCAAAAATTTAAAAAAATAGATTTGTATCTCTGAGAATATTATCTATTACATAAAGTCCTAAGTAGAACCACAATATTCTTTTATTTGAAAGAACATTAAAAAAACAGGGTGGTTCAAAAACAAAAAACAAAAAGGGTTGTTCAAAAAACATTATTATTGAAAAATCTCTGCAGCTTCAACCTTAATGTTCAAGGGTCTTAAGGCACCCCTTATTCAAGAAACTTTTAATTCCATTGTTATTTTATCATATCATGACGTTAGAATAAAAGGGTTCAATCTCCATTTCTTAAAGTTGTGAGAATTTAGCTTTTGATTTTTAATTATTTAATTGTTTTACAGTTGTTGTTTATATTGATAAAATAAATGTTTTTTATGTTATTTATGTGTTATAATTATTCTTACATTACTAATTTCATAATTTTTAAAATTGCTTGTTTACAAATTAGTTGTTAATTTATTAAATAAGGTTGCAATTGACATTTAAAAAACAAAAACTAACAATTTTTAAAATTATATAAATAATGATAATAATAAGATTAATATATTAAAATTGTATAATTTTGAATACAAAAGTAATATTATAACTAAAATCAGAAAATTAATTTTTTTTACCATGAAAATTTGGAGATTAAACCTTAAAATTCTTATCTACCCATATGCTATTTTGTTTTATATCAAATTATATTACTTAATAAATAATAAATAATGTGTATTCTAAGCAATCAATTTAACAAGTTTGATATTATATATATATATATATATATATATATATATATATATATATATATATATATATATATATATATATATATATCCTTATCTCGTTGTTGAAAAAGCCTTTAATGTAAAAAAAGTCTCTTTCGACTATATGCTACCTCGACAATTAAACTACATTTTATTGTTGTCGAAATGTCAAAGCATTTAAATTAATGTGTAAGTACAATGAATTTTATTGTTTTTTAAAAAAACTGCAATAATAACGACTAGAAAGTTTTTATTTAATTAGTGGTGTTTTTGTTTTATCAAAATGCTTTTTTAAAACATGCGTGAGTGTTGCTACATCGATTATCTTATAACCTGCTGCTACAAGGGAGTGTTGTTACATCGACTATCTTATAGCCTGACTCGCAACAGATTGTTGCTACATCGGCTATTTTATAGCCTGACTCGCAAGAGAGTGCTATTACATAGACTGAGGGTTTGGTTTGGGTAGACAGTCTATCATTAAAAAAAAATATATTATTTAAGTTTTTAAACTATTTCTGGTCTGGTTTATTAGCGCTCTCTTTAAAACTACAGTTTATAGTAAAAACTTTTCGACTAAGATGCAAAAGGGGCGTGGTGGCTCCAGAGACAATGCGGATTTTTCACTTTTTTTTAAAAATATGGGCTATTTAACAATTTTTAATCGATGTATGGGCCTTTTAGCAGTTTTTTCTTTTTTTTATATTCTGAAAAAAATCTATTTATTTTTAAAATAAAAAAACTACTATACAGCATTTTCAGAAAATTATGAAATACTTTTCAATCAAGTAACTGCTAAATAAAACTTTTAATATTTAATGTTGTTTAGAGGTACATCTTGCTATGCTCACAGAGGATTCGTACTAAATTAAGTATGAATCAATGTTCTTGCGTTGTGTTGACAAGTGGACCACAAAATTTGTATTTTTTGGTTACAAAGTAATTAATTTTTTATCCAAAGCATAAAGTTTAGGTAATAAATACCCCATGAGCATTGAAAAACAAAATAAAAACTTTTAATATTTAATGTCTATTACGGGACCATTTTTAGAGCGCTGGGGTGTGTTTTTACTTTGCAAAAATGCTACTTAAAATGCAGAATTTAACAAAAGCGTAAACTATCTAACAGGTCACAACTAAAATTTTGCCCAAACTTTGGGATAATGTCAATAAAGATCTGCTTTGTGTATATTTTTAAAATTTTAACAGAATATACTCAAAAGCATTCTCTATTCAAATATATTTTTAAATAGTTCGTATGATTTGTAGTTCAAAAAGTATCACACTATAATGTATGAAGATCTAAAATCCATTTTGTATAAATACTATCAAAAAAACCATGGACTGGGGCGAAAACATATTTTTAATAAATTTATCAGCATGGGAGCTCCAAAAAGGACTTTAAATCATTGGCTTAGCATGCTGGAACAAAATAAAGTACTAACTAGGAAAAAAGGAAGCGGTCCTCTGACCACTATAGCGACTGCAAACAACATACGTAAGATGAAAAATTTCTTCAATCATCGGAAGGGCTGCTCACAGAAAAGAGTTGCTAGCAAGCTAAAAACGACTCAGCAATACGTTTCAAAGATGCTATTGCAAAGAACAAATATCAGATGTCTAAAACGCACCGTCAAACCAAAGATGACAGCCTTACAAGTCAAGTTAGCAAGGCCAAAGTGTGGACGACTTTTCCTCAAATTTCGTGATGTCGATTTTATTTTGGATGATGAATCGTACTTCACTCTTTCCAACACAACTTTGGCTGGGAATGACCGATTTTACTCAGATGATATTCAAAAGACTCCTACTGATGTGAAGAACAAAATGAAGGCAAAATACGAGTCAAAACTACTTGTTTGGGTGGCAGTTTCACCTCGAGGAATGAGTAGTGTCAAATTTTTCAAGTCTGGCCTGGCAATCAATCAATATATTTACCGTGACGAGTGTATACGAAAGAGGTTGATTCCTTTTATTAACAAATACTATAGGGATGGTAAATACGTATTCTGGCCCGATTTAGCTAGCTCCCACTATGCAAACTCAGTCCACGCCGACCTCAGAGACAAAAAAGTCAATTTTGTACAAAAACAAGACAACCCAGCAAACGTCCCGAAAGTCAGGCCAATTGAGGATTTTTGGGGAATTTTGAAGCAGAAAGTGTATGAGAAGGACTGGCAGGCTAAAACTATCACTCAACTTAAAGCTAGAGTCAGTCTTTGCCTTCGTAATTTAGACAAAGACCTTATACACCGCACCTTCAGCTCGGTACACAAAAGACTCGATTTTGTCAAAAGGAATGGAATCGAAAAACTTTAAAAGACATTTTTTCTAACACCTAAAATTGTTGTTTATAAAATGCAAAAAACCGTTTTAAAAAAAATTGTAAAATGACTGAGATATCTTGTTTTAAAAGTTGAGCAAAATTTTAGTTGTGACCCGTTATAAAAACAATTTCTAGTTTTTTCAAGAAAATTTTTTATTTTTATTTTTTATATATAATTAAATACAACTTGTATTATTATAAAATAAACAACATTACATAATAAAACTGAAATCTTTAATTTTTAATTTTGCGTTAATGGCTATTCTTTAAACAACAAAATAAAAATCGTACTTGGTTACAATAACTTGGCGGCAAAGTTGTATTTTAATGCAACTTTGGTATTGGTTGCCACAGCGCAGCGTTTTTATTTTTAGTTTATTCCAATTTTAAGTTAAAGTTTATGATAGAAACCAACAAGTGTTACAAAACTTGTTAGTTTCTATCATAAACTTTAACTTAAAATTGGAAAAGGAAAGTATGTTTTTATGAAATATTTTGTAAATTATTATCAATATATTAAATATATAAATAATTATGTTTACTTATTACTTTATTAAATGATTGTTTAACTAATTTTATTTAAATTATTAAAGAACTTAATTACTTTTATATAAATATATAACATGTTTATATAAAAGTAATTACGTATAATATTCTAAAAAATATTTAATGTATTTTTTGATAAATTTTTCAAAACTTTTTCTACGATTACTTTCATAAACACTCTTAATATCGAAAAACTTTGGCCCAAAAAAATCATTACGTTACAACTCAAATTTGATAGTGTAAAAAAAAAAATACTGGTTTCCATAAGCATTAATAAAACTATTAGGTTAAAGTTTTTATAAAATAAATTTAAAAGAGGTTTTAAAAGTTAAAAGTTTGAAAGTTAAAAAAACCATTGGACAAAAAATAAAACAAATACTGATATAAAAATTAAAATTAATAATTAATTGCAACATTTTAATATAAATGATAAAAACCAGGCTGATTAATTCAAAAGGATTTTATTGCTTAGGCCTCTTTAAAAATGAATTAGCTTAAAAAATGACAATGTTTATTAACGTAGCTTTATTTTCTGTTTTGTATAAAAAATAAAAAGTCTAAAAAATGAAGTACATTGTTTGCATTTATTTTATAATTCTCTTAGTTGTTCCAAAATTATTAATATATTAAAGTTTATCAATAATTTTGGAACAACTAAGAGAATTATAAAATAAATGCACACAAAGTATGGGTCAGACAAAATGACAGATAGATGTCATTTTTTACCAGACATGTACATGTTACCTTTACATCCATCATATGTGGTATAATCCCGCATATATAGGCTTTTTAAGTAAAATCCCGCATGGGCCTTTTACAGCCACCACGCACCTGCCATGCAAGACTATGTATATATATATATATATATATATATATGTTTATATATATATATATTTATATATATATATATTTATATATATATATATATATATATATATATATATATATATATATATATACATATATATATATATATATATATATATATATATATATATATATATATATATATATATATATATATATATATATATATAAATATATATATATATATATATATATATATATATATATATATATATATATATAATATATATATATATATATATATATATATATATATATATATATATATATATATATATATATATATATATATATATATATATATATATATATATATATATATATATATATATATATATATATATATATATATAT